CCGATATACCGGCCAATACTATCCAATATCAACTGATATACGACTGTACATCTTGTGATGCCCTTATTTAAAACCATGCCCCTTATCATCATAGTACTTGTAGCGGAACTTCTAGACCTTCAACATTTGTCTTATTGATTAACCATTTCAAGTTTAGACGGCAGCAACCTGTAGTCTTCGGCACCATTAGGGGCAGATTCAGAATTCTAGCTTCAAGGGACAAATGCTAATAAGGGGGCGGGCATTAAGTTTTTCAAAAAATCTTAGGGAATGAACCTATATAATTTAATAATATACATAACAAATACTACTGTAATACGGTTTTTTTTCCAGCATCATAAACTATGTCTTTTTCTTATTTTCTTATTGAATGGGCTAAATCCTTCATTTCTCCTACTTAAGTAGTCTTCATGTGTGTGCATGTAACAGGTATCCAGAGCCAGCATGAATGATGATCTCTTTCTTGAAGGAGCTTTAGCCCGATACAAGGGGTTTCTGCATCTCATCAAGAGGAACAAGGAAAAAAAAATTACCCACTTCTGTGTTCCAACTTATGACATTGATCTCATCTGGCACTCCCATCAATTGCATCCTGTTTCCTACTCTAAAGATTTGGTGGCAATACTGGGAAAGGTATTGGAGCACGATGACACGGACTCTGATAGAGCTGAAGGAAAGAAACTGAATGTTGGGCTTTGCGAAACCACCAAGCAGTGGGAAGAGGCATTTGGTTCACGGTACTGGAGGGCAGGGGCAATGTATAGAGGCAGTACTCCTTCAACTCTAGCTATGAATGTGAAGCCATTGAACACTCTCAGCAAGAAGGCGGTTCCAAACATTGAATGTCGAGATATAATTCAACTACCCAAGAAGAAGATTGTGGAGGTACTCATGCCACTATTCGAAAATTTGTTTTAAGCATGTAATATATGTAGGAAAGGTAGATAGATGCAAGAGAATGAAATTAACAAATGGCAAAAAATAAAATGAAAAGAAAGGCACTTAGAGGTAGTCTAAGGTGCTTATATTACCTTTAACTCTACCAATACAAGTTTTTGGAGCTTGGGGGTTATGAAATTATGCTCGGAATAGTATGCTCCTATATGTCACACTAGGACTATCCGTGAAGTTGATAGTTTTGACGGATTTCTGTTTTCCAAACCAAAGTCATCCTAGCTTAATTAGCACTATAAAGGCTTATAAATTATTGTATAGTTAAACTTGGCAAATGGAATGGTATCCCAGGCTTCTGTTATTTCTATCTGTGCCGTATGTTTTCTTTTGTTTGCTTTCCCATTTTTGTACATTTTCACAGATAAATTCCACATTAACTTATACAAGGAGAGTATGAATATTAAATCCTAACATGATCCTAAAAGATTAATAGTATTGGCCTACATAAAGAGTAAATATATTCATAATATAGCTGAATTAGACAAATCCTTCTTTCTGTGTATGCTTTATTTCCTTGTTTCTTCAAACAATTTTTATTGTCTACAGTCAATTTCATGTAATTTTTGTTCCTAACCACCATTCAGGTTCTGCTAGAGATTGTGGGGGCACGAAATTTACCATCCGAGCATGCAGGCAACCTCTTTGTTTCCTTCAGTAAGAAACAGCCTGATCTGTTCTTCAACACCAGCAGGAGATTAAACATTTTGTCCGAGTCAAGGGAAAAAAGAGTTGCAGCGTTCCAATGTGAACCAACTGGAGAGCTACTCTTTGAACTTCTGTCCACTTCACCTTCCAACGTGCCCATAGCAAAGTCAACCAAAACTTTAGGGACTACTTTGATCTCTCTGGAGGACCTCTTTAACCCAGTTTCCAAATTGTTTGAGGAAAATTGGTTTGAATTGGTGCCCACTTCTGGAATTGCAGAGTCCAGGCTTGTCAGTCTTCGTATTGCACTGTCTTTTACCGCTCCGGTTCAAGCACCGTATGTGCTACACATGGTTCAGCCGCAGCCATTCTCAAGTGGTTCTTTTTTCCCACTCCCTGAAAGGGTTTATTGTGCCAAGGGTTGGACACATGTTGTGGATGGCATAGGTAATGTGGTAATCAGCATCCAAATGAGGTACTCAAACTCTATAAACCCAAAAATTTAGACTAGTGGTCAGCATTTTCCATTTTCTTGTACATAACTGCAAATAAATCAAATTGAGAATAGCTAAGGCTGTATTTAGATCATAAATTTGGGTAGGTATATAAAACTTTAATTCTGCTGGGAACACATAAGTCTTTCTAAAAATGGGGGTAAGGCTGTGACACTGCATATATCTTGCCTTTCCTGAACCTTGCTTTAGCGGGAGCCTTGTGCAATATTTTCTTAATATATATATATGTTGTCCTAAGTTTCCTGAGCCTTGTGCAATGATTGTCTCTTGGCCTGCTTGGTTGGAAAGTGATTATCACATAATGCTATAATATGTATAATGTATCTGTTTTGATGCATTATCTCAGTAATTGCTAGAGATATACTAGAACTTAGCATATCATCATAAACCATATTGTATTTCATTATTTGCCTTTTTGCTTCAAACTCAGGATTCCACAGAAATCACAAGAAGGAATCAACGGTATTCCCAAAACAGAAGTGATTGGCATGACAGGATCTGGTGAAACACGTGTTCTTGCTGAATTCATCGGACAAGGATGGTCTTTGATGAATTCTCAATGGTTCTTTCAGCTTCAGAAGACAGTTAGCAAGGAAGATCCTATTCTTGACCTTACAGGGAGCCGAAAGGTCAGTATTTACACCGTGTTTTGCTTCATTTTGGAAGATTGGATATTTGTTTGGGGGGTTTTGGAGGCTTTAATTTTACTAGTCACAATGAGGGATCTGCAGACGCTCGATCAAGACGAAAATTGTAGGGTGGACATTATCATTCCATATTGTTTCTCAATACTGACTTCAAGCCTCACACATTTTGATTTATCTTTTGGCAGGTAACCATTTTTCAAGGAAGAAAACTGGGTTATGAGTTCGAGAACGCCGTGAGGAAGAAAAATGAACAAGACTTCATCACCATAGTTGAGTTTTCTATTGAACATCCTTATGGAAAAGCTGTGGCTTTGCTCAACTTGAAGTCTGGTTTTCTCAAGGTACATTTTGTTGATTTTAAAAATGTGATTAATTCGGATGTGTACCTGACATGTGTTAGGAAGTATCTGAGGAGTGTCTGTATCCATGTACATGAACACAATAGATGTGTTGGCGCTTCTTAGGTGGGGTTTGGCAATTGCTTTTTTAGTACGTTTTACTTTTTAGAATTTAAAAAAGCTGGTGTGTTTGACAATTGTTAAAAAAGTTACTTTTATTTTTGTTATGAAGAAACTTTTATGTGTCGCTTAAGCTTCAATTTTGTTTGAAATTACCATATTACCCTTTTTCATTTAGCAAAAAGCAACCATACATTTTACTTTTGATTTTTTTTTTTATTTTTTTTAAAAAGCTAAAAAAAGCTTATTTAGCTATTGCCAAACAGGGTTAGTTAAGTAATTCAGTATTTTAAAACTGAAGCTCAAAATGATTTTCTTACAAATGACGTGAACAGATTGAAGAAGAATGGCTTGTATTGCCTGCAATTGCACTCGGATTTATACTTTCAGACATTATAAAGAAAGAGGGCTATGGAAGTATCTTCATCACCAAAGGAGAGCATTCAAAAGAAACAAATGAGCTGATGCTAGAAAAGAACAGTCTATTCAAAGGAAAGTATGGAAATGAAAGTGAAGTTGTAGAAAGCTTTACATGTGGGGAGTATGGCGATGAAAGTAAAGTGAAGAGCCATTTCAGTTGGTGGACAGAAGGTGGTCGCTGTGGTGGTTGTGGTGGTGGATGTGGTGGTGGTGGTGGTGGATGTCGTGGCAGTGGATGTGGCGGTGGATGTCATGCTTCATGTTCATGATGATGGTTTCTCACAACAATTTATCAGTAAATGGCGGCTCAGCGGCAGTCTTGCTAATTAAGCCATAAGAATCATAGCAAAACGCCAAACCAAGGCCATTGCCATATAAAGATTATTATGTTGTTTATAGTGAAGAATATAAGCTATACTATCTAAATAAGCTGCCATTAGTGTAATGGTGCATTTTTATAGTAATATATATACTTCCTTGGGTTCAAAATATTGTACAAGACTTGTGAGGGTGTTGCCCTGTTCAATGTTATCTACTGTCTGATTTATTTATTTATTTATTTATTATTATTATTTTTTCAATCTTATATGTATTAAATAAAATAATTAATTAATAAATAAAATTATAGCTAATAGATAAACAATGGGAATGTGATAATTCCCACTCTTCTTTGAAAAAATTGCAACTCCCCTGAAAATTGTGATGTACACCAATAAAACATAGGGTAATTTCATACCCATGGATGTTGAGAAAAATATTTTCAGATTAGTGGTAAAGAATATAAACATTAAACAGTAAAATCATATATTTTTTCATGAATTTATAATTAATTTTTGAAGATATCTCTGACATGTAAATTTTCCATTAAACATTGCCAAACTATTAGATGTATGAAATTAGAAATTTCTTTTTATTGTTCTTAAACTAGTATAACTTTACAATGAGAATCTTGTTACACGTCTAATTTTTTTTTGATATATCAGAAGTCATAGTGGGAGAGAGATAGTGTTACCCGTAGTATGACTTGAACCTTAAATTTTCAGAAAAGTGCGGAGATTTTAATTAACTAAACTAGTTTTAATTGGTTACCTCAACAATGAGTAAAAAATAACAAGGAACATGGAGGAAAATTTTGTTAGTTCGACAAATTTAATTTGCTTTATAAAGTAGTGATCAAATAATGTGTGAATATCATTTTCTAATGCTAATACTATTATATTTGTTTGCTCCTCTTAGATTATTTTTGGATAATAAATTTGTAAATGGAAAGAAAAACAAAAACGAAAAGATAAGAGGAAAAAGAAGCGAAAGAAGATAAAATTATTTATTATTTTCCTTCAATGTTATTTTCTTGATAATCATCATATATATATATAATAGTTAAAGCGCACATGCAACGCACGTGGCTATTTTGGTTCAACCCATATTTTCACCCATTGTAGCAGGTAGTATTCATGAATTTAAGCAAAATTTTGAAAAAAATTGAGATCAACTTTGTGTGGGTTCTATGAGCATGTATATCATTTGAAAATGAACTTAAAAGTTAGGCAGCATAAAAATATAAATTAAGGTGTGAATTAACTTTTGTATAGTTGTCTACATTGCATAATCAAAATATAGGCATAAACTACATGGAATTTGGATATGAACATCAAAAAATGAATGTTTAAACATAGTATAAGGTTGTGTGCCATAGCCATTAAATCAACCAGGCAAATGTAAATGGATATCTTTTTTTATCTTTTATTTTTTATTAATTGATAAAAAATAAATAAATGCAGAAAAAAGAAAACTGAAGAAGTTATCAAAATTTAAAGCCGTTACATAATAAAAATTTAGGAATTCTAAAAAAATGTGACAAAGTTCACACCAGACCGAATTGTACTCTTTATATATAAAGTTTCATATGTGAGTTCTACTCATTGAAAAACATCTTATCTCATTTTGTGTTTAGTACTTTGTGCATTTACAATTATTAGGATAATTCTATTTGTATCCAAAAAATCATTAAGTTTGCCCAATTTTTCAATACACTTCCATTAAATTATTTAGAGTTATAATTTACTCTAAATATACCCTATGTTTTTTCCCAAATTATCTTTCAATGTACATCCAAATCCCAAATTACACCACTTTAAAAAATCATTTAAAAAAACTTTAAATAGATTTCACATCACAGTTATTCCTTTGGGATTGATTGCTCTCTACCTGTTCTCTCTTTCTTCTATTCCACGACCGGCCTAAAGCTTTTTGTAGTGGTTGTTTTGTGTTGTTGTTTGGAGTGAGGAAGAAGATGAGAAAATAATTGAAACTTGAAGATAAAGATGAAAAGAGTTGAATGTGAAGAATACGTATAAGTAATTTGGAGGTACCATGAGAAGAAAAAAAAATTTATTTTAGGATTTAATATGTATTGTCCTTATTAGTAAATTTATATTAGGGTTTAAGGCTTTTGGAATCATGAACAAAATAACGCATACCGCTTGTTGAACAAAATTTATTTATTTTTGAATAAAAACTTTAATATAGAGTTCTAACTTAATAGGAAATTTCAGGAAATCAATTTTTTTTAAAAAAAATTTAATTATAATAATCTTAACACAAAGAAAAACAATCCAACTATAACTATCTTCAACACAAAATAAAATTAAAAAAATACCTTTCCGTCAAAATTTCAAATGAACAAGAATTTTATGATTTGGCGCAAGTTCAATCTCTACAATGTGATAATGAATTTATGAAATTAAAGTGAAACACAATTTAAACAGATCAAGTTCTCATAAATTGAAATTGAAAGTTAAATAAGATTTAAAAGAAGTTAAAAGACACACCCATAACTTTTATTTGTAAATGCCAATGTGTGATTGAGATTTGTTCTAATTCCACATATAGAAAAGTCTAGTTACTATGAAAATTTGCCAAAAAAAATTTACCCTGAATCAAGAAGCATTGTTGAGATTTAATTAGCGTATTATGAGATACACATGTAGAATGATTCCAAAGCAAGAAAGTTGTCATGGATGAAGTGTGGTTGAGATTCAATTGGTATATGGTGAATCCATATGTAAAATAAATTTGAACTGCACATATTATGTAAAATTCTAAATACAATTCTAGGTATCTTATTGATTTATATTAGCAGGGAAAAATTTTCAAGTGATGACTTTCAGATACCATCAAATCTTGTCATTTAATGGCTCCATTAGGACTCCCTTCTTTCCCATTGCTATTGTTACCAATATAATATAATAATATAATATAATTTTTAATCTAAATACATTTATGTTGGCTTTTTTGGCCTTCGAAAGTTAAAAATATAATTTGAACATGCCAGCAAGGATAAATAAGTCCTTACAGAAATAATAAATGCTAACCAATTAATCAGACAATTGCTTCGAAATTCTCTTAGCCTCAATGAAGAGAACTTTTACCGGTAGCTTGTTTTAGAAAAAAAATTTAGAAGAACTAATCGCAATAGTAAAAGAAAGAGGGAGATAATAGTGTCAGAAAATAGATTTTATCAAGTAAACAAGTGTTTACAGTTGTACCTTCGCACTTCCACAACTTTGAAGAGGATTACAGTGATGAACATACTAATTTAGAACTACTCCTAAAAAATTGGAATGCAGTGTGGGAAAGTAAAGGACAGGAAGGTAAAGAACTAGAAAATAAATAACTGGAAAAATGTAAGGTAAAATAAATTGGTTTCTGGATTTGGTTTTGTGTCCTGTAAATGTAGCAATTAATGACTATTTATAGGAAAAAAAACTTCCAGCAATAACTACCCAATAAATACCTAAAACTATCCACTCTTCCACCTTCATTCCCATAATGCCACATATCTCTCAATGTCTTTCACTAAGTCACTTTATCCATCATATTCTTCACATGTGCTTTAACTTCTTCCACCTTGTCTTCCATGTTCCACCATGCAAGACCACTAACTTTGTAAATTCTCTCAACTCCTGATTGATCAAGAAAGTGCCACGTGTCCTGCAATAATAATAATAATAATAATAATAGTAATAATAATAGTAATAATAATAATAATAATAATAATAATAATAATAATACTATTTATGGTGTCAAAATTTTATAAATTAATTTATTTGTGTAATTTTTTAAAATTATTTAATGTTAAATAATTTTATATTTTAAATACAAGAAAATATGAATAAAATACAAAAAAATAGTACACGTTCATATTTATTTGTATTCAGTAGTTTTTCACAAATATATTACTTTTTAATTATATTTAGATTTGATATACATCTATATAATATGAAAAAATTTCACTATCGCTAATCACTAAGAATGAAAAAAAATATATGAAATGAAAATCATTCAAAAATATGAAAAAACCCAAAATTGAAAAATAGTTTTCAAAAATTAAACCAAAGAAAGTTTTTGTTATTTAGAATTTTGACAACATATATGGATTATTAAAGTACCATGCAAAATATACAATTCTAAAAATCTGAACAAAAAGAAGTGTATAAAAATAGATTGCGAATTTGTAATGGCTCGGGTTGAGACCTGACCCCTATTCCTTTTCTTATAAAGATGGTGCATTAAAAAGGATTGCTGTCGAAAATTTGACTTAACTTGAAAATTTTCTAACTGTGGAAATTGGGTTTTTCAAAACTTACAATTTTGAAAACAGTTTTTTGCAGTAATTGTTCCTTATATTTTAAATAGTCTAAATTGATTTTATGGAATTTTTCTATGAAGTATTATCCCTTTACTTCAACATCAAACTTAGAAATTTCAATCAAAAAATTATTTTTGTACTAAAACAGGAAGAACCACTTTTTGATTTGATTGGATTATGATTATGATTTTGATTTTTTTTTTTTTTTTTGGAATCCAAATGGGGGGTATTTCCTTATTTACATTTTAAACTTAAGTAAATGTTTTCATTCAATCCTCTTACATTTATTTACATTTATACTTCATTTACTTAAATGGTTATAAATGGAAATAAGGTTGATGTGCTGTGAGTATCTGAGGGTCTGTGCCTGTGTGATTGTTATCTCCTGAGTGACTGCTTAAGTGGTAGATTTACGGCTAAACGGTGACGAGGGTGCATCCAATATCTTGTTTTGCAAACTGAAATACTAGGAGGTTAAGTTCATCGCTCAAGCGGTGAAGAGACTGCTCGAGCGGTCTATGCAAATAAGGAAACTTAAAAACCGACTCTTGCTCATTTTTTTTCCCACTTTTTCATATCCTCTCTCTCTCTCTCTCACACACACACACACACAAACACACACACACACACACACACACACACACACACACACATTTCCGAAACCCTAGCCCCCAAAACACATGATTCCTCTCATTTCTACTAAGAATCCACCTTAGATCTTTCAATAGAGTTGAAGAACAAGCCTTGATCAAGATTTCTACCGATTGATTCATGATTTTGTTGGTGCTTCAAGTTAGGTTTTCATCTTTTCATCATCTCCTTTGAGGGAAGAATACTTTTAACCTTGTATATCTATATTTTGATTTGATTATGTG